TATACTGGATAAATTATCCCTTAAAGCAGCACTATGTAAGATCTGACCTTAAAATAATTTCTCTTAAATTGCACCAGTGGCAGCAGCATAACTTTAATGTATTCTGTGGATGTTTAACAGCCTACAGTAGGTGAAGTTTGCCAAAAGTGCATTGTTACTTTTCTTTTACTGAATTCAACATTTTTTATTCATGCACAAAAATGGTTTAAATCTCCTTTTTACTGCACTTTCACCCTTTTCTGGCAGAACTTGACCAATTTAAACTTACAAATAGCAAGAAAAGTGAATTTTTTGCATTATGAAAACCTTTTTAAGCTTAAGTTATAGTGTTTCGTGTGTTTTTTCTTTTCTTATCTATTAACTTAGCCAGTGTCAGGACGTGGACAAGGCTGTTTTTGCACGTCAGTCTAAATGAATAGATTACACCAAAAAGAACATGAGTAATATTGACAAACTATACATCACTAAAGCTACAACCCTCAAGCAGCCAGTGTTGAATTATGGATGGTTATTCGTTTGTTTTTTATTCACCGTTTCTGCTGGAGACCTGTTGTTTACATTGTTTACTTGTGCGTGAAAATGGCGTCTTTAAAGTAAAAAAAAAAAAAAAAACAAGAAAAGGTCATAGCTTACAGTGTTAGAAATAAAATGAGACCACGAACTGAATTAAAAGCCAAAGTTATAGTTACTAAAATCTAAACAAAGCAGTCGACTGCTTTGATGTTCTGCATATGCATATCTGTCAGTCACTTGCTTTCTAGTTTGACTGGTGGAGAATTTAGTCAATGGCTGCATGATTTTTTCGCAAAATGGCGATGTTTATTCATCTATTGAACAAGTTGTAGTTTCATTGCAATCTGTTTGCTGTCACTACTTCAGTGACTTGTCAATCATTATGTCACGTGACGCACCTGCAGCTCTCCCCGGCTTTTTGATGTCATAGCTTGAGTCATTAAAACTCAGGTTTTTTCCCCTCTGTATTACATTATTACACTAGAGATAGATGTATAATTATGTCTCTTCTCCCTTTTCTCCCACTTAAAGCTAACTGTCAACGTCATACTGACATTTACTTGTCAGATATGGCAACCAAAATCCAACATCTGATAGACGTCATAGTAGTAACATCCATACAACATCAAGCTGTATCATCATTAGACGTTGATATTTGGTTGATTTTAGGTTGGACATTGGATCTTGGTCTGATGTTGGGTTCTGACTTCAACTTAATTTTTATTTCCAAACAAAGTGCAATGTCAACATGATGTATGGATACAACAACAATCTGACATTATGTTGATGTCCTGTGCCTGCAGGGAGACTGGTCAGCCACACACGGAAACTAACATGGATTTGTATTGGACAGGCTTGATGGCAAAAGCTGAAAGAGGCAACTGGCTGCCATTTGATGATATTTGTTGAGTGTAATGTAACACAGGCTATTTTTACGGGTCGTTGGACATGATTTCCAAACGAGGTATCAACTTTCACTGATTCTGTCAGGTTAGTCAACAAATGCTGCCCACAGAGAAGTGCAACAACACTTTAACAACACTGGTATCAGGCAACTGGACTTATCAATAACAAAGAGAAGCTGTGAGAAAAACTTGCATAGTGTTGCTTTAAAGAAGTTGTTTTCGATGATCCAATCACAAGTGGACAATGCTATTTTCAGGGGAATACAGAAATATTTGAGCTTTCGATCATTTGAGGCAGACGAATAAACATTCAAACAGTTTAATTTAATGTGTTAAAAAGGTTTATGCCCCGTTTTAAACATATGTAACTAAACTCATGGCTACGGTTCTTGTTTAGAATAGGTTGATCTACATCTTATTCATTCATTTTCTTTTTGGCTTAGTCTCTTTATTATTAATCCGGAGTCGCCAGTGGAATGAATCGTCAACTTATCCAGCACATGTTTTATGCAGCGGATGCCCTTCCAGCTGCAACGCATCTCTGAGAAACATCCAGAACATGCAAACTCCACACAGAAACGCCAACTGACCCAGCGACCTTCTTGTTGTAAAGCCAAAGCACTACCTACTGTGCTACTGCATCACCATCTGCATGCTAAGCTATTGTAAATTGCCATTCCATCATCCATCATATAACAGCCAGCTGTTATACATTGTTCACTGCAATTCACAGCCAATTGATGCTTATTGTTTTAGTATATTCTAATATTTGGTCAGACCAAAACATGCCTCACATTCACCTCACAGCTACAGGCAAGTGAATGTCTCCAAATCACTTATACCACACAATAAGGAGTCAAAATAACAAACATTAACCAACTGTCTTTCACTAAACCTACTCTATGCACAATCCTATATAACACTTCCTTAACACTTGTCCCTAAATATGCTTCTAACATCTTATTTCAGCATTTAACAGAATCACAAAATTTCCTTGGATTATACCTTTGCCTGCTGCTTCACCCTCACCTGCCATGTTTTTAGAGATGCTCTGTCACATCTGCTATTTAACCAATTTGGCACTAAAGCACTTCATTCCTCCCTCCTCGCACTGTGATTACCATCTTGATGACTTCCCCATTTCTGCCTAATGCACATGCTGTTTTTACACTCAACAACAAATTATTTTTCTGTTTTTTTTTTTCAACTTCTTTTACATGCCAATTATGTGTTTTCAGTCCAAAATGAACAGCCACTTTAAGTAAAAATGTCAGCAAAACCAAAATGTTTTTGATTTTTATAGTTTACAGTATGTACTGTGGGGGAAAATATTCAACATGTTGTTTTTTTTCTGGTTAAAAATATTCTAAAGGAGCTGTTGACGTGGAATTGAACCAGATTTTGGTAAAAACCCAAACAATATATGCTTAAAAATGAAACAAACAAAAAAATCTGAAAAATGTGTTTGTGTAATAACAATGAAATGACACAAGGAGAAAGTACTGAACTACTGAAACGTATTTAATACTTTATATAGAAGTTTTTTTTTTGTTTTTTGTTTTTTTTGGTAATGGCAGCTTAAAGATGACTCATGTAGAAAATGATGTCATATAAATTTCTCAGGTGTGAGTTTTTCACAGAGTTCAACAGTGTAAAAATCTTGATGGTTCTGTGGGTCTTGTCTATCAGATCTGATCTTTATTTTGTATTTTCTATTGGGTTCAAGTTGGGCAATTGGCTGGGCCATTCTAAAGCCTGATTTTCTTTCTCTGGAAGCATTTGAGAGTTTCCTTGGCTGCGTTTTGGATCATGGTCTTGCGGAAATGTCCACTCTGGCTTCATCATCATCATTCGGATGATGTAGATGTTGGAGTGAAGCAGCTAATATTAATTTACACTGACGAAGGGTACACGGTTGCTGAATAACCTCTGAGAGATTTTAGCTGCTGTCTGGGCTTTCACTGCCTTTCTACTCCTCCCTTTAGTCATGCGTTCAATACTTTTTTTGTCATTTCATTTTATTACACATAACTTCATTTGTAAACTAATTATTATTGTATGAATGTGAATTTCTTTGGTTGTTACCAACATCTGGTGAAAATTTCAAGTCAACAGCACCTTTACAAATATGTTTTCTGGGACAAATGGTAATTTGTTGAATACTAATTTCCTCCACTGTATTTAAAGTGGGATAGTTCACCCAAAAAGAATGATTTACTTATCCTTGACTTGAAAAAAAAAAACATCAGCCATTGATTTCCATAGTGTATTTGTTCCTACAATGGATGTCAATGGCTGCTTTTTCACAACATTCGGCAGAATATCTTGTTTTGTGTTGATTTTTAAACCCATAAACATTTAAAATTACTTGAGTGTGAGTAAATGCGTGAACTATCCCTTTAATGTAAAATTGTTTATATTATGAAGATGTGGCAAATGCATGTACAACATGTAAAAAAACTAAATCTTTTGCACTTTAAGATGTTTTTAGGACAAACTCCTTAGATTAAAATGTTCCTCACACCCCTCTAAGCACATTTTGAGTTTTTGTTTTAATGCAAACCTATGAACAAAAGGTCAAGGAGGCAGTTTCAAAGCCTGTTAAAGTCGTAACAGACCACTTCAAAATTGTTAGTATCAATAGCGCAGCTTGTGTAAACATACAGGAATGCCATGGCAGATGCTGCTTCTGTTTGCCCTTTGCAGAGCTGGCTTACTGTATATTGACCCTAACAAAAATATACTGCTAACGGTCTACAGTATTCTGCTTGCTTTAATTAATTGGTTAAATGCAAGCATTTGAAATAACAAGCAACAAATGCATAAGTTAATAATAAAATTATAAAAATTGCCAGAGGAAATCACTTTCATATTGAGAGCGGTTTGATCCTATTGAACCTACTCTCAAATGCAATTCCCTACTTTCACTGAAAGCGAATTAGGTTTTGTTTACCACCCACTTTCATTTCAGCTGTGTGGAAATGGGATGTGTGCCATGCCTGGGAAATTTGTGTTTACCTGCACAGAGGCAATATATTCATTTTTCTGACTGGCTTTACTGATATTGAGGTACTGGCTCTATGGAAATGTTCTCAGGGAAGAAAGAGGGAGAAAGATTGTATACAATTAGGAGCTGACAAATCTAGCATGTCTCTGGGAAAAAGGTACACAGCAGTGATGGAATGATGTGTGTATGCATATGTGTGTGTTCTAAGCATTTAAATAACTCTTTAAAGGGATAGTTCATCCTAATTTTTTGTTAAAATGTTAGTTTTTAGTAATGATTCAGCTATCTTTGTCCACATTCTTAAAGTCATCAAGGTTTAATTTTAACCCATTCATTGTGTTCATCCCAGTGGCACAGTGGGTAGCACAATGGCCTCACAGCAAGAAGGTCGATGATTCAAGCCCTGGCTGGGTCAGTTGGCATTTCTGTGTGGAGTTTGCATGTTCTCCCCATGTTCGCAAAGGGAGTACTCTGGTTTCCCCCACAAGTCCAAAGACATGCACCCTAGGCAAATTGGGTAAGCTAAATTGTCCGTAGTGTAAGTGTGTGAGTGAGTGTGTATGTATGTTTTCCAGTGATGGATTGCAGCTGGAAGGGCATCCAGTGCGTAAAACATATCCTAGATAAGTTAGAGATTCATTCTGCTGTAGCAATAAAGGGACTGAGCCAAAAAGAAAATAAATGAATGATTGAATTAGTGTGTTTGTCCAAATTTGACCCAAATTAAATTATTTTGTGAGTTAGGTTCCTTAAAAAATGTTAGAGATGGTTTTAAAAAAAACTATCTGCATAAATATGCAAGTAAACAAACATTCTACTGGTGAAGTTCTTTCAATTTGCAGACTGAAAACCAATTTATGTTCTTGCACAGAAAAAAAAATCTAAATATTTTGCATACATATTAATAATGTTATATATCACCAGCAGGATTATTGTATTGGCTTGTTCTGTGCCACTCCTCTGTTGCCGGGAAGCTTGATACAGATTGTATGGCGAATGTTTCCTGAGTATTTGCTAGCAGGTTTCTGATTGGCCACACTCTGATTAGCATTGCAGTGAATAAGCTTTATGCTCCGGTTAACATTATGACCATCTCTAATGCTAACCCCAAGGTTAGTGTTGTCAGTAGTACAGCGAGAACTGTGCAGGTCTTCAACTGTGCTCATGCTATGACTAACACATTTGACCCTCTGAACATTATTGTCTGCCGAGTAACTGCTTACGCCATTGCTAATTTCAGTTGTGACAAGGTTAACTTTAGCTGTATCGCATAAACCTGCATCTGTCTCACCCACATCCTCAGTGGGAGTACAGTGTGTCCTCACCTGCACCGGGGGTGTAGAAAGTAAGACTAGCGGAACATTATGACCATAAAACAGTGTCTGTGGTATTTGCACTTGAACTGATTCTCGAACGCTTCCCTCATTTCCTTCACTGAACCCTGGCTCAACTTTTCGCTGAGCTTCTCCCAGCGTATTCTTTTTGGTATTTGAGGTCTGATTCGTGGCCTTAGAATGTTTAAGCATAATTCTTCCAGCTGAAGGAAAGAATGTGATTTTCATTCTGCTCACTTTCTTCCCACCTGAGGCCTGCATGTCGGAGTGTGCATTTGGAAGCTTCAGCTGCAGCTGACTTGCTGAGCTTTCTGCTTGAGTTTCATTTTGCTTTTGTGATGTTGTGGATGAGTTTACGAGAGTTTGTTTCACCTGGGGTTCCTTTATCACAGAGTCAGCTGGATTGGCTTGCGGTGCTGTCCATATGCTGTAAGGATTCACTTGTGAGCTAAGGTCAAGACTGGACTCTTTTTGACATGCGGTGGAGGGTTGTAATGGATTCACACTAAACTCAAAGCTGCACACAGTTTCAGAATGACCCTCTGACATGCTTTGAGTTGCACTTTTAACCTCATGAATATCCCCAATGGACTCAAAGCTCATGGCATCCTCACTCACAGCTCTTTCTCCATTCTTCATTCCTCTCTCTTCATCGTAGTCATGAAAAGATGCTTCACATTCGTTTTCTTTCTCATTTTTGGTCTCCTGATCCCTCTCACTCCAAAAGTCTTCTTCTTCTTCGTAGGTGAAAGTATTTGTCCAGCTCTTTTTGGATATTTCAGGTGTGAGAGGCCGCAGTCTTGCAGCAGCTCCGAACAGAAAAGGACGGGAGCGTGGATCTTGTGGGCTGGGGATTGGATCAGCTGAGCTGAGGGACAGTGTACTATCCAATGAGCTGAGAGAAGAAGTGGTAGTAGATGACAGACTTGACATGCTGGCCAATCTCTGAGCAGGATGACGGAAGCGAGAGGGGATCTGCGGAGACTTCCAAAAAGTGTAACGGCGCCGTCGTGGACCCATTCCAGAATTTTGCGATTGCTGATCTGGGCTCAGTCCCGTAGAGCCTAGTGACTGCTCCTTTCTACTGTCAGTTACAGCAGCATCATAGCTGGACTGGCGGATAACAGGAGTATGATTTGGTGCCAGTGTTTGGGGTGAGGAAAAGTACATGGAAGGCTCAGAGAGGCATCGATCACGAGATTGGCTGAGTTGCCCAACCTCCAGCATGCTCACAGAAGCACTGGAACAAGATGAAATGGAATCCAGAGTCCCACAGCTGTAGGTGCCCTCTGATGACGGCATATCAATATCAAAGGCCCCGGGTCTCCTCTTCTCTTGCAGAGAAAGTGCAGCCAGTGGGAGGAAAAGGGGATGAACTTCAGGCTGTAGATGAGGTGAAACTGTAAAATCTTGATCTGTGTCCTCTGAAGAAGAGTGCTGAAGAATAAATGACCCATCTAGGGAAAATATGAATATTTTGCATAGTTAGACATAGCTGAACACTTAGATTATTCTTGGACTCTGTCAAAGTGAATAAATTGCACAGACCACTTAGTACAGTTATTCAGCGATTCCTGTGGAGAACCTGCCATAAGCCTACCATCAGTACATAAATCAAGTTTCCATGGTGTCATTTGGTGCAAAAACACTATTTCAGTCTGCCAGAAATTTGACAAATTGCACTTAAATGACGTTAAGAGCCCAAGGAAAAAAGATTCTACAAGACTAACTCGATAGCTAACGGTACATTTTTCTTCTGATAAATTTTCTAGGCATACATAGGGGTTATTTTCAGCATCACCAATTGTTGAGTTGCTCTGAACTGAAGAAAAGAAAGTAATCCCAGATGAAAACCTACTGCACAGGGCAAATATTTCTCTTTCATCCTGAGTGTGACCAAACTGCCAAAACCACACTGGAATGACTCTGGACGATGTTGAGAGACTAAATGTTGTATCCCAAGCCTACTGAAAACCTCTGCTGAGTTCAGAATACCACCTGGTGCTGAGTTCAGAATACCACCTGGTACTGTATATTTAAGTAACATAGAAAGTGTAGTATCCTACATTTTCACTCAAAGGCCTCGTTTACACTGCCAGTTAAATGTGACCTAATTAGGATTTATTGCATATTGAAGTCAGAATTATTAGCTGCCCTGTTTATTTTTTTCCCCAATTTCTGATTAACGGAGAGAAGATTTTCTCAACACATTTCTAATAATAATAATTTTAATAACTCATATCTAATAACTGATTTATTTTATCTTTGTCATGATGACAGTAAATATTATTTTACTAAATATATTTTTAAGACACTTCTATACAGCTTAAAGTGACATTTAATGGCTTAATTAGGTTAATTAGGCAAGTTAGGGCAATTTGTTTATTGCACAATGATGGTTTGTTCTGTAGATTATCGAAAAAACATATAACTTAAAGGGGCTAATAGTTTTGATCTCATAAAAAAATTAAAACTGCTTCTAGCCTAAATAAAACATATAAGACTTTCTCCAGAAGAAAAGATATTATCAGTCATACAGTAAAAAATGTCCTTGCTCAGTTAAACATCATTTGATATTTAAAAAATAAGTAAACTAATTTAAAGGGGGGCTAATAATTCAGACTTCAACTGTATATGACAGATCGTATCTTATGAACACACAAAAAAGCATGCATTCAGATATTCAGAGATTGGTTTCAGGCCTCCTTCATATATGGAAATAAATCAGATATAAATCGATATAGATTGGATTTATTGAGGTATTCCATTTTGTGCATCATTAAACTTAGAAGGAAGAGAAGGAAGAGTATGTGTGGAGACGGCAAAGCGATAAACATCAACCACAGAGGAGCATCCACCTCAAAAGAAATTTAAAGTTGGGCACATTTCGCAGAGCTAAAAGCAAGACATTTTCTTTCATCGTGGCTAGTGTGGCGCAGATGCTAGATCCCGCCTTTATGCATGCGCAACTTCGTAAATTGTATGGCAAGTGTAAACACGTGAATTAGATATGGGTCCCAATTAAAATAACAAGTAAACGGACAGGCAACAAATCAGAATTGGGCATTAAGACCGGACAGTGTAAATGTGACAAAAATGATAATTCACCCAAAAAGGACAATTAATTTCTTACCAGTAAATGATTTCAAACTTCACAATATCTTATTTTATGTGCAGCAGAATATCTTGTTTTATCTTCTTCAGTTTCAATTAATTACCTACATAATCTGCACTAAATTACCTGCAGACAGCTTAAAAGTGTGTGTGGGAGTACTGTGAAACTGCAATCAAAAAGGCTAATTACTTTCTGTAAAGTACCTCAATAAGCATTTCATACTGTATTAATAAGGTCCAAATAGCACAACCACAAAATTACCTGCATAATCGTGCGTTTCCTGACCTGAATTCATCTGTTTGATGAACAAACTCTCAAGATCATCTCCAAATATGGCAGGCGTGTTTTCTATCAGGTACTGGATGAGCGAGGCGACCTGAACGACAGATGGAAAAACATGAAACATCATCAATACGGAAAACAGACACAGCTGGCCTACAAACGTAAACGTTGCCTGTAGCAGCACATATATCATAGTGACTGAAGCACTGTACAGAGCAGTTCAAGAAGTTTATGACTTGTTAAATCTTTCAGAAAGATTCATCTGTTGTGCATTCATTGGAGCATGGTTGAGGTGGACACGTTGTGTATGCTAGATGAATACCATCTTGTTTCTGTCCATGTTCTAGAGTGTTTAGACATTAGTTTAGAGCTTCCATAGCACGAAGTGTACATGACGCCAATGTGTGCGCGCGTTTGGCATGTGAATAGAGATCCTCACTTCTCTCATAGAAAGATTGATCTCTTACTCATTTCAGAAACAAACAACCCCAAAAGGAATGGAAAACTAAAATGCAAGCCAAGAACATGGAATGCATTTCCATTGCAAGAAAAAAAAATGTATTTAATAGACACCACGATGCTCTCTGGCTGACAGTGGATGAGTAACTATGCACTGATTGACTCATGCTGTTCTTCTCAAGAAGCATTTGCATAAGTTCATAAATGCAAAGGCTTCATTGTAAGTAGTCTGCGACATGATGACATATTCTAACTGCATGATGACATGATGACCTATTCTTAACAAGTCGAAATCTCCGCAAATAGCATGCTCTTACTTACTAATTGGTCGGATTAATTGAGATTAAACACAACATGACAAATTAGTTACTGCCTTTGGTTGTTGAGAAACAAAAGCATCTGCACTTTGGGCAGATTACCAACTGCTCATTTTAGCTTTTTTCAAGATCCCTGTTGTCATCCTTTTTTATTCAGTCATTCATTCATTCATTTACTCATTCATTCATTCTCCTTCAGCTTAGTTCTTTGTTTAGAGGTCACCACAGAGGAATGAACTGCCAACTATTCCAGCATATGCTTTACGCAGATGACCAATTGCACAGTTTTTTTAAAGTTCCCTGTTGTCATGCTTTCTTTCTTTCTTTCTTTCTTTCTTTCTTTCTTTCTTCACTCATTCTCCTTTAGCTAAGTCCCTTATTTATCAGGAGTCACCACAGAGGAATGAACCTCCAAAAATTCTGGCATATGTTTTACGCAGATGAAGCTAAGCCTAACATAGATGACCAATTGCCATTTTTCAAGATCCCTGTTGTCATGTTCATTCATTCATTCATTCATTCATTCATTCATTCATTCATTCATTTTCCTTTGGCTTAGTCCCTTATTTATCAGGGGTAACCACAGCAGAATGAACCGCCAACTAATTCGGCATGTGTTTTACACAGATGACCAATTGCCGATTTTAGCTTTTTTTCAAGATCCATGTTGTCATGCTTTTTCTTTCATTCATACATTCATTCATTTTCCTTTGGCTTACTCACTTATTTATCAGAGGTCACCACAGCGGAATGAACCTGCAACTATTCTAGAATATGTTTTACTGAGATGCAGCTAACTCTAACGTTCATTCTTTCATTCATTCATTCATTCATTCATTTATTCATTCATTCATTCATTCTCCTTCAGCTTAGTTCTTTGTTTAGAGGTCACCATAGAGGAATGAATTGCCAACAATTCCGGCATATGTTTTACGCAGATGACCAGTTGCTGTTTTTTTTTTTCAAGATCCCTGTTGTCATGTTCATTCATTCATTCATTCATTCATTCATTCATTCATTCATTCATTCACTCTCCATTAGCTTAGGTGCAGCTAAAACCCTAACGCAGATGACCAATTGCTCATTTTAGCTTTTTTAAAGATCCCTGTTGTCATGCTTTTTCATTCATTCATTCATTCATTTATTTCATTCATCAGCTAAGTCTCTTATTTATCAGGGGTCACCACAGAAAAGAATCACCAACTATTCCGTCATATTTTCTATGCAGATGACCAATTGCTCTTTTTTTTCAAGATACTTGTTGTCATGCTTTTTTGTTCATTCATTCATTAATTTTCCTTTGGCTCAGTGGGATGAACTGCCAACTATTCTGGTATATGTTTTACACAGATGACCAATTGGTCATTTTAGCTTTTTTTCAAGATCCATGTTGTCCTGCTTTTTCTTTCATTCATTTATTCATTCATTCATTTTCCTTTGGCTTGGTCCCTCATTTATCAGGGAATGAACTTCCAACTATTCCAGCTTATGCCCTACACAGCCGGTGTCTTTCCAGCTGCAACCTAGTACTGGAAAACACCCATACATTGTCATACACTAATTTGTATACAGGCTATATAGGCTATATTTGTATATAGGCTAATTTTGTTTACCCAATTCACTTAAACCATGTTTCTTTGGACCGTGGGGAAAACCAAAGGGCCCAGATGAAACAAGCGAACATAAGGAGAACATAAAAACTCCACATGCAAAGTCATAAAAAAACAAACTACTACTAATAATAAATGCTTCTGCAAACTCCACACAGAAATGCCAACTGGCCCTGGTAGGACTCGAATCAGCAACCTTCTTGCTATGAGGCAACAGTGCTAAACACTGAGCCACCATCCAGCCACATCACGTTTTATCAAAATCGTACAATCCAAAATACTACTAAGGATAAATGCTTCTGAATATTTTGGTGCAAATTTGGTAGCCCATTTCACTGCCACTTAAATGCTTGAGCGGTGAGGAAGAGGATTGAAAACATTTTTCCATTTCCATTTTTACGAACGAAACAAAAAGCTGCATTTTAAAGGCATAGTTCATCAAAAATGATAATTCTTCTTATTTACTCATAGTTTTTGACTCAAATCGTTTTGATTTACGTTCTTTTGTTGAACACAAAAAACATATTTTGAAAAACCCAGGAAATGTAGTCATTGACCCTCACAGTTTTAGTTTTTCCTTTTGTGTTCAATAGAAGAAACTTATAAAAAGGTTTGAAACCGCTTGAGGGTAAGAAAAGTGGGAGTAGATTTTTCATTTCTGGGCACAATATCTATTTAAGTAATCAATATACAGTAAAGGCCCACATGGAATCTGCACCCAGAGAAATGCACAGATATTTTAACCTTTCATTGAGTCTATTTATTTACTTATGTAAATGTGTGTAAATATATATGAATATAAATAATTTTATGAACAATACCGTTTGTAAAGTAAAATTCTCGATCTATTTGTAGATATGTTATATGAGAGGCTTAGTTTAGTGGTTCTAATTGTACTGTAAATCTTAAAGTCCCCATAAACTGGAAGCTGCGACTGTTTTTTTTTTTTTTTTTTCTTTTTTTTTTGTATTGGGATGGTTTAAAGAGAAACAGAATATTAGATGATAACAGTGGGCGTGGCATTTTTTTCTACTGCACTGATTGAATGTAGCAAATTAGGCATATCATTCAGAAAGATGGGGAAAGCGGTTTCGGAACAGTTATTACAATCTAAAAGACTCATCCTCACCCTTTCTGTTTGCTGTCAAAACTGACAGCTGAAGCAGTGTGGTTAAACATGTTAGCCACGCCCATTTCCTAAGATATATGTAATCTGACAATTTATCTGGCAAAAATAAAAAACAGGAAGTGCATTTTCAGATTTCTAATAAAGATTTAAAAGGGCAAAGAATTTTTTTTTTTCTCTTAATGACATGCACAGAGTTGTTCACAAAACTAGTAATGTGAGCCAACAAAATCACATGGTTTTGATTTCGATAAACGGACATGGTTTACTTTAAGTTGTTTTTTTAAATGATAAATTTACAATTGCATGCGTGAAGGGAGTAATGGATATCATCCTTAAAGACTCGATTTTAACTTTTTTGAAAAAGCACAGACACTGCAAGTTATTGCATGAAAGACTAGCTGATTAAGAAGGTACAATGTCAGGCTTATACTGTAACTGTACGTGATAGAAAAATGTATTATGTAACTCAGCATTTTAAACAATATAAATAGAGCCAGATGCATTAGTCAGGGGAGGTGAAAAAAATGCTAAAATTTGAAGCTGCTTTGTTGCATATCAATCCTGTTATTAGTAGTGTAACTGTTAATTAAGGTTAAATTATTGTAGCTGGATTAGTATGGAGCTAATAATATGGCAAAACAATCTGAATTGTGTTCATTTGAATTATTAACAATTGTAAGTTAATAAAACTGAATAATATGTGCTATTAAAATGTTTTAAATTTGTATTTCTTGACTTGAATATTGAACATCTGAACTTTAAAACTAATTAAGTCAGATTTTTAAAGACGTATTTTCAAACTTTAGATTTATTTGGTTCTGAATTCAAAGGTTGCAAACATTGGGTTTGTCAAAAGTTAAAACAGAAAAGTAAAACGGTTTCACTTTTTCAATATAAAGATATTCGGAACATCAAATTCAATATTGGGTGTCATGGTTGCACATTGGGTAGCACAACCGCCTCACAGCAAGACAGCCGCTGGTTTGAGCCTCGGCTGGGTCAGTTGGCATTTCTGTGTGAAGTTTGCATGTTCTCCCTGTGTTCCCATGGGTTTCCTCCGGGTGCTACGGTTTCCCCCACAAGTCGAAAGACATGCGATAAAGGTGAATTGAATAAGCTAAATTGGCTAGAATGCAAGAGTGTATGGGTGTTTCCCAGTGTTGGGATATGGCTGGAAGTGCATAAGAAATTCAAATTCAAAACATTTTTAATGGTATATAATATTCAGTTTTATTTACTTACAATTGTTAATGATTCAAATTAACACAATGCAAACTCAGATTGTTTTGGCATTTAATTAGCTCCATAGCTGTCTCAGGCTTTATTGAGAATTCATGTGATTTTTTGCATTTACAAATAATAATATAATCTTTTAAATTATTTAAAAAAAACAATAAGATCCATACTTTTATCTCATTGTTTTATGTTCCACCATTTAGGCAATGGCACCATAAAAAAAAAAAATCCAAATGTAATTTGGTATGCTCTTATTACTACTATACTTTGGTGTTATTGTCAGGAGGACCTGCCCATGCAATTTTATTCTTGTTATGTGCAACATTCTTTTTGAATGAGAGTA